GTAAACCTTATTACTTGTCATTTTTATCTTCATGTCGCATTTATTAGCATCAGGATCGGCATTTGGGCGGAGTCTGACGCACATTTCCTACAACCGCCCACGTTTTCCTTGATTCTTGGGAAATTATCAAATATCAAAAACACCAAAGTTATCCAAATAAACTTCTAACAATGGTGGAAAACATCCGCAAACAAAACTGACATGAACATATTAAACAAATTGGTATGCCACCAAACGGAAATTTAATTAATTTGACTAACCATTTCACCTCGAATTATTATTACTTGCCCGAAATGTTTTGTTCTTTTTTTATTATTTTTAATGGGGTCGAAAAATTGTACTTTAATATTTTTAACTTTTCTGACTGACCATTTTGAACCTGTGTGAATATTGTTCTGAGGCGTCAGTGGGCTCGCCTAAAGGGAATTAATATAAACTGCTCAAAAATGAATAGGAATATTCGTAATTTATTCTTATACTATTAATTTTAATTAAATTAACCGATATGTTCTTGTTAGTTGGATAAAGCGAAATAGAAAATACAAACGAAAAACAAACAAATGTTAGTCCTCATTTTTAAGAAACGGATTTACTTAATAATAGTAAAGAGGAAGAGAACTCATTTTGTAAAAACCAGCTTTTCTCGTCTTTTCTCCATTTTAATCCAGTTGTATTCTCTTTAACCATGAAAAGACACCATTTTGAACCATAAGTACGCTGTATTATTATGAGGATGAGTCATCGAGGCCACCGGTAAGTGGATATCGCAGAGACAGTTGGCGTTTTTCAGAGCGAGGTGGTTTTAGCCCGATTCCGAGAGACTGGACGTGCCAATAAGAAACTGGATCGTACTGGATCTCATCTTATTAGGACGATAAGGGAGGACAGAAACATTGTCATTATTGCAAGGCGGAACCTTTCCATACAGCCTACCAGATCCTAAATGAAGTACAAGATGTTATGGCAAGGCAAACAACAAACAATTCTTCAACACAAACGATTCTTGATCGATCAAAAATCATTTGTGGGAAGTTGGCCTCGCATCGTACGTCCCTTTGAGACGACCTGCAGCCACAGTCCACCACCAGCAACTCAGGAAAATATGGTGCAGCGAGCACCTAGAAGAGAACACCAACTGGAATGCTGTTATGTTTACTGATGAGTCGCGTTTCTGTCTGTATAGCTGGCGCCGAAGAGTCTACCGAGAACAGGGGATGCGTACAATGCCTCAGTTCGTGTTCCCTTCAGTGGAGGAGGCGGTGTAATGGTCTTGGCTAGAATTTACACTGGAGGACGAACTGGACTCCGTATTGTTGAAGGAAACCTCACCACAGTCCGTTATGTCCAAGAAATTATCGAGGAATTCATCCCTCAAACCAGGACTCTCATTGGCAGGGATTTCGACAATGCCTCCTAGAGGCAGTTGTTAATCAATGTTAAGAAAACCTGGGAATCTCCCATCTGCCCCTTCCCTCATTGTATCCAGAATTCAATCCCATTGAGCACATGTGGGATGCGTTTCAAAGGAGGTTTTTCGATCACCATCCACTACCAGTTGACCTGCATGAACTGAGTGCAGCGTTTATAAAATGATATTTCTTATGAAATTAGTGACAACCCTATTAACAGTATGCCTACAGGTGCACAGAGGTTTTAGCTAACAGAGGACATTGTACACGGTATTAATTGTTTAACAAAATTATTGTGTCCAATAAACAAAATTAGGAAATTAAAACCTTTTATTTTTTTTATTTTTCACAATCTCTTAATTGCATTTTCCTTCAGTAAAAAAACAATAATTCCTAATAAATTTCAATGAAATTTATAATAAAAATAAAATACAAATAATAGGGTAAGTAAATACTACAAACTTGGCAATATCTCTATTCATTTTTGAGCAGTTTACATATTTTAGCTTTGTTCCATAAGGTAAGCTACAAAATTAGGTATTAAAAAAAAACAGTATAAAATATGTGAAGCATGTAACTAAAAAATAATTTTGTAAAACAAAGTCAGAGAATATTATTGTCGACCAAGTGTCAATTTATCATCACCGACTAGCAAACCATCATCGACCATCAACTTTAATATAGACTAGTAAACTCCATTTTTACTCTACCCTCAAGAATATCAACTATTTGATCTTCTAAATCACCTAAACCTTCCATATTGTATGCAGTGCGGTCGAACATTATTTGGTTGATAACTGCTTCTCGTCAGAAGAGTTGTAAAAAGCTTCACTTAATTCATTACTATAAAAATAGATAAACGAATAAATAAATTCATAAATTTTTATATGTTATTATTATTATAATTTTTAAGGGCGTTTTAACGGCTAAGGTCATTTCACGCCCTAACATCCCAAACCTTCTATCTTTGTTTAGCTATATCCCTTCTGAGTGCTATAAAGCTCTGACTCCAAACATTCACTCGTAAACTAATTTATCCTATTGCCATCCAAGCTTTAATTTATCTTTTAAAATTCTGAATTTAACTCCAACTTTATGTGACTGTGGCTTGGGTAGGCGAAGTTTGATTTATTTCATTGCTTATCCAAGTTGGATTCGATGGTTGGTGAATTTGACCGTCCCAAACTTGCATTTTTAATCTTTGGTAATCGTCTGCCCTGCAAAAGAACACCGTTCAACAAGACGAAGACTAAACTAACAAGGTTTAAAAAAATTAGAAATTACTCGGTGCTTACGGGCTATTGTTAAGTGTAATTACGATGAAATTTCCAAAGTTTCTTTTTTTAAGTTCCCATAAACTTACAATACTGTGCAATTACCACTGTTCTTTATTACTTTAACATACGTAAAGAGATTTTTTTTTAACATGGCAATATTATTTAAAAGATTATCGTTTTATATAAAAAAATACACTTAAAGCATAGTGTTAAAAAATAAATATTTCCGGTCGTACAGGGGCTGGCTTAACGTCAAACTATCCGTCGGGTGTCAAACCACTTTTCAGTAGTTTTTTCCAAATTATTATCAATTCCAATTTCATGAGCTATGCCGGGATTCGAACCCAGAAACCTACAGTGGTAAATACAAAATGAACGCCTTAACTACTCAGCCTCTGCAGTCCCAACAGTAATAATAATAGTAATGATAATAATAACGATACTTTGCTGAACAAATATTATATAAAACGGACATTTACTCTCGGCCACAGCCCGCGTATTTGGGCATGTAAAGAAAGATCGCACGATGTGTCATTGAAGGGTGTCATTTTTTGGCTCGAGAGCGAGTATGAATTCCACGTTTTCCTGAGTTGGTATTTGAGCACGGCAAGCGAATGTTTAGATCCCTATTCCTATTTTTGAAGAGATTGAATGTATCTATTAATGTGAATGTGTAATAAAGTAGTGTAGTGAATGTGTACAATAAAGGCTGATGGAAGAATATCGATGACGATGATGATAATAAGAGGATAGTAGGATGTAGTTTTGAATTGTTATGAAAAAGGCGGAACATGCGCACTAACGCTTGTTCTCGTAAAACGTTATACTTGTAAGACCTGTAGTCGAGAAGTTTCAGAATTCAGACTGTAAAAATAATATCTAATATAAACTACCTTTTCTTTTATTTCTTTATCCTGCAGTAGGTCGGTTCCCTGATGTTACAAGGAATGTTTCCGGGACCATATAGTCAGTCCTGAGACCCAAATGGCTATCTGATTTGATTTGCTATTGTATGCCGGAAATGATTAGTCCCATCTAATTTATTAGTTTTTGGAGTCTGTATGAACTTTTCCTAGTTCTCTTTGTATATGGTTTCAACAGAGTTGGTTTAATGTGTGTAGATAGGGTTGTAGTCATTGCCCCTGTGACGCATTGATTTGCACTCTGTCTAATTATTAAGAGAGGGGTTGTCTTCACTTGCTTAAGAATAGGCCATACGAGGTTGACTCATGGACACTTACTTTTGGGCCAAAGCCTGCAAATGTGTCCGGCATGTAGAGAATGGTTGCTCAGTATGTCCCACCTAATTGAAAGGTGCAATTCCTCGGCTCCATACAGAGGTTATAGTAGGATATGAGAATTTTGTTTGAACTATATCTTGGTTCCCTGTTTAGTATCTTAGAGGAACCAGGGTAGTCATATTGTATATAGTAATGGTTGTTTTGTGTCCTTAGCGTTTGTGAGAGTGAATGTATTTATGACCATGAATCTGTGAGAGGGCCATTGGCAGAATATTGAGAATCCCATCGACCCTTAATTAGATTAGTTACAGAATAGGTGTAAAGGGTGATAATATCGAGTGATCTAACTTAGTAACTGAATGAATGATATGTAAATAAAAAAGAATCTATTTAGATTGCGTAAGATGAGTTTGGATTTAGGGACTGATTCAGTTGGGTACTTAATAAGTCAGCTGTTGACAGCACCAATAGAGCCCAGTGATGGTGGCTGGATGGGTAAGATGGAGGTCTGCTCCGGACTGCTAACGGTGATTCGGTAATTTATTGTAAATTACAAAGCTGGAATTGCTAATGGACTGTGAGAAGTGGCAGCCTCAACTCTGCACATGTGTACATACATATATATATCAGCTTGTATAAATCCAAATCTAAATCCTGCTGAAGGCAGAAAATTGAATGTAGCTTAAAAAATCATGCTTTGACATTTTCTGGGTCATTACTGATGTGACCTTTAATAAATCATATATGAGGTAAATAGACCGATGTACAAATGGAGAGGCGGTTGGGTTTTTTGCGGTTTTGTTTCATCATTTGACATCACTTGTATGCCATTCATCTCAGAAGAAAAACGTACTGAATCAAACAGTAAAATTGGCTATTTATTAATAATATATTGTTAGTATTCAATGTTATATTGAATATTTTTGGATGAATGTTCGATATCTTACAAAACTATAATTTTACTTGTTTTGGTTTTTGTTTTCTTTATTTATTTTAAAAACATATTTGTATGAAAATTACCATTAAAGATGCAATATTGATATATGTAAAATATTTATTCATTTTTTAACTAGGAAAGGGTAAGGTAGAGACAATGGGGGTTTTTTCCCTCATTTTATTTGGAGCATTCGCCGTACTCACTTCAGCATATTACCCTCCATTTAAAGTAAGTTTTAAATTCTTAAAGCTGATTTAGTTTTAATTAGTTTTTGTTCGTTAAAGGAGAGTGGCCTTGGAGATGTTTTGATGCGTGAGGTGATGGATAAAACTGGGCAAGATTTGGAAAACTATCTTGAGGATTTAGACCCCAGCATGAACTACCTTCAGCTTATTTCACGGTCTTACAAGGATTCTGATTACCAGGATAGCCCCAGCCCAAGAGATCACGAGTATTTGCAGCACAGCTCCCTTTGGGCAAATCTCATGCAAGGGTCAAATGAAAATGAGGAAACAGGACCACAAATGGCAATGCTTGGAAATCAGAAACAGCTGAATAGAAAACAGGACAATCTTCCAGCGTATTGCAATCCACCTAATCCTTGCCCAATAGGGTATACTGGTGCGTTCTTCTATTTCTCTATTGTGTCAAGTCCTTTGTGATTTCTTTCACTGCAGGTGAAGAGGGCTGCCTGGAAGAATTTGAGAACACGGCCAGTTTTAGCAGAGACTACCAGAGCCAGCAGGAATGCATGTGTGACACTGAACATATGTTTGACTGCAGTGCGTCGCACATGAACAATGACCTCTCCCAATCAGATTTGAGTCGGATTGTACAACAGTTCCATGTGTGTTTACAATTATACTTTTGTCATATATTTTGACTGAAATATAATAAAACAAATTACGATTTTCAGGTAGAAGATGAACACAAATCTCTTGTGGCTAAAAAATTTCATGTCAAGAAGGTACAACTGATTTGGAGGCATATCTAAAAAATATTATCCAAACATGCATATTGTTGTATGAATATTAATAATCAGTAATGATGTTGATATTTTAATTTACAGTCTTACAACCCTTATCTGATGGGAGAGAAGCTTCCTGTGGCTGCCAAGAAAGGCTTACGAGTTAGATACTAACCACAGTAAATTGCAACATTCACTTTTTAAGACTCTGACCCGGCGATCCTATGGATATTCACAGTAAATTTAGGTGTTAGAAAACATGCCAGGTGGCATTTGCCCTTTTAGTAGATGTTCTTAAAATAAAAATATATCTAGGAAACGTATCTGTCAGTATAAAAACAACTTAATTAATTTGAAAAGGATGTCATTAGGTAATCTCAGCATTTGGACAGGCCCTTATAAAGGGAAAATATAAGGGCCTAATCTTTGAATGAAATAGAAAGCTTCAGATGGTTTTAATCCTTGTCAATGTATTTCAAATCTATGTGTGTTTCATGTAATAACATAATGTCAAACGTTTACTCTTCAATTGGAAAATATATCTAAATCTGAGGCATATCACATTATATCAGTAGTCTCCACATTCGCAGTGCCAGGGCTCATCTTACTCTCCTATTGAATTCTTTATAGTTTCTCTGCACTCACTTTATTATGTTTTATTATTATGTTTTCAGTTTTCCAATGGCAGGGTAATGTGAGCTCTGTTCTCTTTTTCTTTCTAATAATAATAATAAAGTAAAAAATATGCATTAACAGCGATCTCACTTCGAATGCATACAGTACAAATCGACAATATGTACCATACCATGACAAAGACTGAAAACATCAAGGTAACAAGCAATCCCAGTTGTCATGGTTGTAAAATTTACGATGTCCAAAATCAAGTTGTCAAGTATCTACAGTGATAAGGCTAGCACTTTAGATATTTGCCTAAATGGTAATCTTATAATTGTAGATTTTTTTTCCACTCATATACACCTTACCTGCTTAGGTAAGAGGTTCACCTAAGTAGGTAAAAGTATTTGATGGTTGCAATGTGATGTTTTAAGTTTGAAACCCCTTTTAGAGTGTTAAGATGCATCATAATTAATTATCTAATTTGGACCCGTTGTTATTAGGATCAATGCTTCCTTGTAGAAGTAGAAAAAGCTTTACTGTAAACTATGCTGTTTAACTCATAAACTTCTTGGTATCGCAAAAGAAATAAAAATTTAGTATCATGTACATTGCTGAATGGATTTCCGACAAAAAATAATCATTAAATATTATATATATTTATGTATATATGTATATTCTATATGCATATGTATATATATATATTTATTTATATGTAAGTAAATATATAGGCATATGAGTGATTATCAAGAAATTTATCAGTTTATTTCACTGCACTATAATGGCAAAATCACATTATTGTGTCTATGTTTTGAATATTTATTGTATTGATCTCAATAGGTGTTTTAGAACTAAAGTTTTCAATATTATTAATGTTGAATAGTTTCATTAGCTTAAAAAAGAAATGCATTAATATTGTAGATGTTTTAAAATAATTATTGTTATTATAATTACTGATTATTACTAGCCATACAGTGTGAGAAAATACATTAAAAGAATCTGAATCCAATGGCAATTAAATAATTAATTAACCTTATTGGAATTAAGTTACTGGAATGGACTTGCATTTAAAAATTCTATTAAAATTAATATGGCCTACACTTCAGACGTTTCTTTCTTTTACATAAATATACACCTATTTTCCAATCCGCCCTTTTCTCCAAAAAATTTTCAGCCAGGTGAGTTAATTTATCTATTTTCTATTTCATATGTAATAAAAATATTCTTACTAACTGCATCATTGTTCATAACTTCAAAGACGTTAAACACATTTTTTTTCTTGACCAACTACACCCTGGAATTAAGAAATTTATTGTTCAGTCATGCTCCCAATAATATTATTTTTGAATGATACAGTAACATACATTTAGTGATGTTTATAGTAAGAACATGTAACCATTTTTTAAATAAATGACAAAAATATTATTATGACAATAATTACACAAAAAAATAATTCCGACAGATACCTTGGACAAATGACTTATATGGAATTTCATGGGTTCCATGACTAGAGACAATATTTTCTTGGGTATAGTGAATTTTGAAAACAAAATTTGTGCTCACTTAGGTTATGAATGGTTAGGGTTCGGGGTAGGGGTTGAGTTGAGGGGGAATAAAGATAGGAATAAAAGAGGCCACAAGGCCTATCTAACCTATTGTGTTCTTCGGTTTGTTATAATTCACTTGTCAGCTTCTGGCAGTATCTGCCCAGTGGTTTTTCTGTCTGTGCTCCTATTTGGTGCATGTGCCTTCTTAGGCGGCAGTGCCCTGAATATTAGATTTAGAAGGCCGATTTGCTGAACTTGAGGGAAATGCAGTTGCTGATTCATTCTCTGGATGCAAAATTTTGAATAATTTGCGGACTCTCAATATTACTTCTCTGGGAAGATTTTTTATATAAAATTTTTATTTTATCATATTTGCTGGAAGATTTGTATGCCAAACTTTTGAGAAAAAGTCGTTGTGGTGAGCGGTTTTTTGAACGAATGAACGTGAACGCTGTCGCTCGCTGGGGTACTCTGAGCGGGTAGTGAGCTACTCCACTCTAGCCCATCAAGCCTTTTCGGGGGTAGGATGTGTCAGGTTGCCCGGGCTTGACGGGTGAACACCCTCCCACCACTTACTACTAGTCTACTATCTAAGCCCTTAGGGATAGGGTTGGAAGAAGATAGAACTACTAGGGTGAAATATTCAGTTCCCTTTATTCTATCAGAACAATTTCCCGATAATATAAATTAACGACAACTCTCTTACTACAGTATTATACTATTAATAAAGAAAACTTATAAACTGAATGACTATTTCTATATACAAACAACGCTCTTATTCCTATTAGCAACTCCTTATTCCTAGGGGCTTAATTATTGGGACGTATTACTTAAAATTCGGCCGCAGCCCGAACTCGCCCAACTATTCTCCAAATCTCCCGCCAACTGATTGACAAAACTTGTACTTACTGGACTGGAATGCGTGCGTCTATCTTGACGGTTAGGTGGTTCAGATTCTGCAAACGGTGCTGACTACGTCGTCCTCTCTGACTCCGGCGGTCATGGCCCCACCAGTCTCCTCCCCTCAGACTGCTCTTTAGACTTTTCTCTCGACGTCCTTCTCGACGTCTCACTTTACGTCTCTCTCGACTTCCCTTTCGACGTATCTCCCGACTTCCCTCTCGACGTTTCCTGGCGACTTCGGCTCCTTCGGGCGAATTCCCCGCCGTCGTCTTCTTGACGACTTTTACCCAACCCCTGGCCTACTACAGGGCCAACTCTTGGCCGACTACGGCTCCTTCGGGCGAATTTCTCGCCGTCGTCTTCTTGACGACTCTTGCTTCCTCTGGGCGAATTTATTGCCCAATTCTGGTCGTCTCCTCGACGACTCTCGGGCCAATTCCTGGTCCTCTCCGGGCCTGCTCCTCTTCGACTTCGGCTCCTCCTCGCCTATTCCTACGGCCCCGACCGCGACAGCTCTCCGCTGACCGCCTCTCTTTTAAACTCCTCGTCGTCTCCACGGGACTCTCCGACTGACTCAACTGCGGACTCCCGGACTACTGACTACGGACTGCGAACTCTACTACTATGGACTCTACTTCGATTGTTTTTGTATCAATCAGTTCAGGGAGGAGGTGGGGAACAGTTACGCTTAGGAAATACTGCTATGCTTCCAGGTGACTCAACTGCCCTTATCCTCTCCAGGTCAGCGAGCTATTCCGGATGAGGCCGGGCATTAGCTAATATAATCTGGGGTTGAGCAATAAGGCCACTCGAAAGAGAACAACAGTCAATTTTTCTAGGGCGATTGCCCAGGATCGACCCACATTTCTCAATCGAAAACATCCAGCTGTTATTTGCCTAGCTTTGTTTAGCTGCGTCTGGAGTTTTCGAGAAAGACGGGGTCGGCTCCCGAGATTCCAGGCCACTTCCGATTGCCCAATCCTGCACAAGATGATTTCCCAACATTTAGCCGAAATATTCTTACGTCTAATATTTATAATACATTTATATTTTTTTCATCTCAACTAAAAACCTTAATTAATTGTCATTTATAATACACTTAATTTCTATAAAACCCTGTTTAAGGTTCCCTTTTGGGAATCTTCACAGTCGTCTTTTTTCACTAGTGGCTTGAATGTTGTCCAAATAATTTATGTAACTATTTATTCCGCCAACATTCAGCTATGTATGACCATGGACCATCTTCTGGTATTTCGCGAGACGTTATAGGGTGAACAAAATTGATCCACGTTGAATTGTAGAATGTTACTTTAGTGACTGGGAGTTTTGTGGCCCTGATAAAGGCCGGTGTTGTGTAGAGAAAGCGTGACTATGAATCGAAGCCGAGACCGTGTGCGTGGCGCCGTTGGTGGTGGTCCGTGACCATGAGTAAACCAGTGGCCGAAGGTATTGGAGTACAGCAATTAGCCGAGGGGCAGCAGTTGGCGTTTACGGCCAAGTCGGCTGTTTAGAAGGCGAGATCAGGCTAATGCCGCGAGTACTTGCTGTCGTTGACGGTGTTCCTTTAGTGACGGCTCGTCGTGTTGACGAGTCTAGTGTTGTCGATTATTAGTGATGTATGTGACCTCGTCGGGCTGACGAATCTGCTGTCGTTGTTGCTGATGTCGGTTACATTAGTGATTGGTGAGATCTCGTCGGGTTGACGAGTCTCCTTCCAGCGAGGCAGTCAGCAGTGCTGCCCCTGCTTATATAGAGAAGAGCTCTACTCTGATTGGCTGCAGAGTGGAGGGCGAGAACAAAAAAAACCTCAAACGGACTTCAGGTAGTAACAAAAAGAAAATTAGGAGGAGCCTCGTAAGCGCCACGTAGAGCCGAAGTTTGAGTTAATAATACCAACGAAAGCGATACGTACCGGAAAGAGGTCAAATACCTGGCGGCAAACGATTATGACTACCACTTCTACCAGCTGAAAGAGGATAAATGTTTTCGCGTGGTGATAAGAGGTCCCTCTCGTGCCACCAAAAAAAAAGCTGGCCTTCCACACCGTCCGCGTTAGGCGTTGGACAGGAGGATGGGGCGGCGGTGACGTGCAACTCATAACCTATCCCATCCCGCCCCCGCAGGCTTTTGCCTTCTCGAGGCGCCACCGTTAAGGTCTCCTAGGAGACTGAACAAAAAGAGACCTGCAAATCTCACGTATCGATGGATGGAGTGTAGCAAATACGCGGCTGTCGGGTCGGTTGTTCCTTGGAGGGTCTCGTCAGAGATATCGAAGAGGTTCGATTGGTCCCGGCGGTCGTTTGTGAAACTGGCTTGTGTGATGGGCGTCTGACCCTTGGAGGATCTTATTGGAGATGCCGCGGAAGAAGGGTTGCTCTTGTGACCGGCTAAGATAGGGGTGGCGGACGGAAGCGGGAGGGACCTCGAGGTTCCCACCGGGGCCCAAGACAGGTGTCCCGGCAATCTGAACCCGCCTGTTTGACCGCTGTCGATCTTTCACCAGGGGAGAATTAGCTCAAGTCACCGAACTCGTGTGGGAGAGACTCTACAAGCTCCCGAGTGGGTGTAGGAACAACCCTTGAGTAGTAACAGGCACCTGCGGGAGCCTGCGAGAGCTCGTTTGGGCTTCCGAACCCATGAAGGGCTATTGCGAAGAAAGGGAGCCTATGACGGCGGGTAGTATCGACGGGTGCCCCGCGCCCGGTTCGGCTATCTGACTGCTGTGGGTCTCAAGAGAGGCAGCGAATGGCGTAGCCCACGTTATCTGGACTCGACTGTTCGACTGTTCCCGTTTCTGACGCTGGGGGAGACTGAACACCTCCCCCTTGCCTCCATGTGCGATTCAGGGGTTCGAATCGCTGATGAAGAGTCTCTCAAGCCCAGGTGTGAGCGACATTCGGCCTTCGGGGGAGTAGCAGGAAACCTGAACGGAAACTGCGAAAGCCTGAGGAACCGGTCGCCCACCACGAGCGCACTGATTTTGAAGAGTGAGTGTTTGCGATTGAGGATCCCAATCCGACCTGCGGGATTTAATTTCCGCGGACTCGGATTCACCCCCCGAGGCGACTGGCTGGGATACGGCCGACTAGTTCGGCTTTTGAACGGCCATCTCGTCTCACCCATCCTGGTAGTCATAGCCCACTTTATGTGGAACCACGGTGACGATGGGTGGTTTAATGTGGTTCGAGACTCGAGACCCCGAAACGGCTCACCTCGTGTTCTCATCCAAGGCCCCTTTTCTCAGTCCGAACTCCTTCATTCTATCCTGTGACCCCTCCTAACCCTTGGCTACAAGGGGGGTATCCGGGCACAAAATAATGGTGCAGCCCAGAGGCCGTGGCAACCTCTCTAAAGCACAAGCTGTCTTGTGTCGGCCTGAGGGTCGCTCAGGGGCGGCGGGTGCCTTAGCAGAGTCACACGAGGGCCAGTGCACTAGATCCTGTCTGCAAAGACAGGGGAGGGTGTATGGCCCACCTATACCACGGGGTGAAAGAATGTTTCCAAAAACAGCCCTTGACACATTGGGAACGGTTTCGTGGTGACGCCCCTGGCGGGAACTTAGACAGAGGCTGTCTTCTATTTGTGACCTTTCGTGAAGCTTGCGTATGGCCAACGTAGTACCCCCTGGTAATCACGGGAGACGTTGCGACCCGATGACAGCATGTAGGCGCTGAGGACGTAATGATCATGCTACAGTCCCTCGAATGCGTAAGTAAGCGGTTGGAAGCGGGTAGTGAGTCGGCGTCTTTGACTCGAGTATGCTTTGCATTGTTGTGCGTATGACCGGCGTGGTACCCTTGGGGAAGCGAAGGATCGGACCACCTAGGCTAGACCTATCGCGTCCCTCGAATTCGTGCAGCAGGTGTAGTCTGAGCTCGATAAGAGACTTTTACCGTAGACAGTGCTCATCTAGGGGGTGGGTAGCAATTCCACTTTAAACTAAAACCGCTGCCGGGGCATTTCCGGAAGTTTCTACGCTGGGGGAGCCTCTATACTCAGAGAGATTGAGTGGCCTTCTCTATCTAAGGAGTACGCGAGGGGGGGGGGACGGGCTGTTGTATTTCGATGTTCGGTGTGTTCCTTGGCCGTTCTGGATGCTATTAATATATCATCTATATAAACGAAACAGTAGGGTAGTTCAGATAAGACGTTATGAATAAACCTTTGAAAAGTGCTAGGAGCCATAAGCCATAACCATAAGCCAAAAGGCATAACGTTAAATTCGTACAGGCCAAATGGCGTTATAATTGCTGTTTTAGGTTTACTCTCTTCGACAAGAGGAATTTGGTAAAAAGCAGCGTGTAAATCTATTTTAGAAAAAAATATATTTATGCTCTAGGATTTCACTAACATCTTCAGCCCTAGGCTCTGGATAACGGTCTGGTATTGTGCGAGCATTGAGGGCCCGATAATCGCCACATGCGCGCCATTGTCCGTTTTTCTTGATTGTAAGTAAAAGAGGATTGGCCCACTGTGATTTAGATGGTCTCAGTATACCGTGATTTAATAGGAATTGGAATTCATTTTTTGCAATTTTTAATTTTTGAGAGTCTAGTCGACGAGGTTTACCATCTTTACATAAGTAAAAGAGGATTGGCCCACCGTGATTTAATAGGAATATAGGCCATTCCATATTGCGCCGGAAACTTAAATCAGTGTTAAGTATTTGGGTACCGTAAGTCGGTATCTCGGCACCATTAGCGGCAAACAATTTGAAGTCAGTTGGCGACTTCTGCTTAGTAACTGGAATTACTGAGACGTCCGCACCACTGTCCACAAGAAACTGTATGCCTGAGAGGCGATCACTCACGAATAGACTGCGATGACGGCCTGGTGAGACATTACAGGTAGCGCACTCGGCCGTTACTGTGTCTGCCAATCGGTGTTTCCCTGATTGGCCTGATTCACTAAATTCGAAGACTTAGCTTCTTTTTTCCACCTACAAAGTGTTGTCCATAACAATATTTCCCTTCTGGGTTATAACGCGAACGAGATCTTGAATGTGTTTTTAATTCATGTACTTTCTAGTGCAGACATACGGTCACACAATTGTTTTATATCTCTGTCTACATGAGGGGGCATGAGAGGATACTGCGTTGGCTTGGTTATTGTGACAAGTCATTTCCCATATCTTATCGCTGATTTCGGCCATTTTTTCTAATTCTCCATCCGTAATTGAGGTAAGTCCTCTTATCAGCGTGAGTAATTTATCTAACCATAAAGTTTATCGGAAATTTCTTTGCCTGCAAGGGCTTTCATTTTTCTTAGGAGCTGGCTAGGCTTCATACTCCCTAGATCGAGCTCGCTAACTAACTTTTTTATTTTCCTCTCCTCACTCTCTTTGAAAATTGTTAACAAGCGGTTTTTTGCTAGTGTGTATTTGTTGTCGTCAGTTGACGAAACAATGTCCCAAATATTTTCGACGACTTTTAAATCTAATTGAGCAATGAGATAGTTAAACTTAGCTTGTTCCTGTGTTACGCCATATAATTGAAATTGTGCTTCCACCTGGTAGAACCATATTTCTGGTTTTCTGCCCAGAATGGAAGAATATTGACGCTGTCTCGTTCTATGAAGTTGGATTGTAAGGTCGTTTGGTCCGGAATATTGATAGTTTTCGTTGTTAGCCATTTTGTGTGTCTTACTGATCAAATTAAATACTGAACAAGAAAAGGATTAAAAAAAAAAGAATATAACTCACCAAGATGAAGAAGAAAAAGAACACTTAATTCACTATTAATAACTAAAAGTTTATAACCTAATTACTTATAACATAACTTTGTACACATAACTAAACGGAAATTTAGTCACATAATTAAGTCTGTTTAAAAATCACTTTTCAACTTATGTCCAAATTCAGGGGTCACCAATGTGGGTAGATATAGTTTGAGTAACTACTTACTACTCGTTTGTACAATTTATTTATTTAAACGCTGCAAGATCAAACGTACTTTCTTCCGCCCGCTTAACTTTTCTCGTCTCTCCCACGTGCTCTTCCAGCAGTGTTGCCCCACAAGGCAATTTTAAGCGGTGTTAATCACTGTTGTGCAATACTTGGGGCAGCGAGAGTCGCGAAGATGATTCCACGTTAACGGCTAGCAGACAAGTGACGGAAAAAAGAACAAAGGCAGGAAGGGATGATTTTTGGAGAAAATGGAGGGAAGAGGGTTGTGATTGGTAAATCGGGTTGCAATTGGGGGGGGGGGGCATCGGTAACAGATTAACATTACCAGTTTAAGTTTTCGTTAACTGTGAAACGCCCGAATCCGAATAATGCACATATTTTAAAAGGTTACTGTTTAATTTATTGGGTCAGGCCCCGATTTTTCTTTTAAATTAAACTGGTTTAGTTGTTGTACTAATATTTGTTCATAATCATGAGTGACACGAGTTGCTCAAGGGGATCCACAGGAAGACTGTGATAACAATTAAAAAGAACTTTATTATTACAAACAATTATTTACATAATACTCAATAATTATTATTTCTTAGGCAAGTATGTTACAAAAATCTTTCCTTGTTTGTGGTTGATGACTTGCCAATGGGAACAGGCGAGACTATGTGGTTCCATGATGTCGATGAAAAATTTTCCATTGAGGTGGTCCATTTCGTGCTGAACTATCCTCGCGGACCAGCCACTGGCCTCCCAGGCCTTTTCTTTTCCTTCGTGGTCTAAGCCTAAATATTCCATATAAATAAGATGAAAAGAAAGAGAAGAGAGAAGGGGGAGAGGGGAATGAGAGAATCACCTGTAAGCAGAACTTTGGTGTAGCGAGAAGTATCAGCTGTGAAGCACTTCATACTTTCGCAACTTTCTTCATCAATATACTTTCTGTAATCAAGGATCTTCATTTCTGGGTTGATCCATACCTATAAAAAATTTATTTAGTGCCTTTAATTATTGCAATACATTTAAAAATATTCTAACTTGAAAAGGTATGTGCTCCATTTTTCTTGCATCATACAAGTTGACAGGTTTAAACTTGTTTCTAGGAGGAGATTGAATGGCAAAGACCCTGAGCGATACGCCCACCTGAGGCGCAGAAAGGCTTAGCGTATTTGAGTCTTTCATTAGACGACATAATCTGGCAATCAACTACACATTATTAGCCATTATACATTTTAACATTTAATTAAGTTTTTAAAGAAAGCATAACTTTCACACTGAATGGTGATTTTTTTACCTTCTTCATTGGTTCTTCCTGAATGGCACTTGGATCTACAGCTTTTGCCTTCAAACGCAGGACAGGATCTCCTATTTGAACGATATGGTTGTAAGGAATCGTGGGATACTTACCAGCCCACCAAGCTTGGTAAAGAAGCTTAAAAGCCCGAAGTTTCATCCTGGTAACAAAAGTAAAATGATCAAGACAATTGATCTAAGATTAGACCCAATGCAGCACTCTTCAGAATTTAGTCAGCTACTAATTTAGCATTAATTCTTATGCGAGTGTAAATTTTGTCAGGCTAATATTTTGTCATACCTACTCGACTAAATGGATAGAGTACCTGAATTTTTTCCAACTAAAAAATTTAGTCAACTGCACTGTTTATACAGTAAGGACACTGCACACACTTGTTGACTGTCCTATCAGTGATCAATGTGATATTAACTTGTTATTTTGTGTAATATATATATTATCATCAACATATATATTATTACAGAGTCTGTTTCCTTCTTACATTTCCTTTGATTACCAGGCAATAAATACATTTTGGCACAGAAAGGTTGTTGATATTTATATTAACTTGAGCACGTCTGAGCCTACGATAATAGCATTAATAAACTATTTTGGTTCAATAGTTGTCGAATGTAGCTTTGACATGCAACTATTTGAAAGAAATTTGCTGATTATATTGCAGTCTGTGCACCACCAGCCAACCAGTTTAGTTTTCCCAGTCAAACTAAACTATCAGCCAATACTACATGTATATGATCATGAATTTCTGATAATATATAAACTATTTTTTTTTTTTTTTTAATTTTAAAAATTCTACTGTTAAGCTTCATACTATGGATATATTAAAATTGCCACCGCAACTAATTTTAAATTACATGGATTAGGGATGATAAAATTCCAGACAATAATGTGTCAACATATTAATAGTATGACACCCTCTTATTTACAATAACATTACATAGTCCAGAGATGTTGGAGTGTTTTATTCAGCAAAGTTGTAAACAGTTTAACTAAATTTAAATTCAGCCAGTAGAATTTTAAGTTACTATCCCTTTTGTAATAACTTACTTTGGTATCATTACATCCTATCTTTTATATATCCTTTTTGTCTGGCAAAATGTGTAAATACTGTACCAACAATTTTTTCAAACTCTTAATTTTACTTTTTTCATCTTCTTGGATTAGGAAATATTCATTACCTCTTTAAAATTTGTGTAAGGATAAATAAATCCTTTCATTTATTTAGTTATTTAACAGTGCTTCTATTTTTTCTCTACTATTACTCCATTCCACATTGTTTATTTCAAAGATTCATGGAATACTTTTATTTTTATTAGTTCTTAATGATGACAAATTTTGGTGTCGGGATGTTAACAGTACCAGAATGGGTAAAATATTAATTAAACTTCATGAATAAATATTTATTTAGAAATCGTGAGATGCGGTCTGGTGTGGTGTAGGTTTCAGAAAAACATTTTCTTTATCGTGCCAATGTTTTGATCTTTATTGAATAAGGTAATAATAAAGATCGAAACGTTGGCACGATAAAGAAAATGTTTTTCTGAAACCTACATCACACCAGACTGCATCTCACTATTTCTAAATAAATATTGATTAACAGTCACTAATCACCACACATTTCATGAATAAATGTTGAACCGGCACAGGGTCTCTCTCTACACTCGGGATTTTGAGTTATTCAAACGCGTTTCGGCATTGCATCATCTTCAGTGAGGAATGAAGGAAGTTGATCCAGTAAGTGACCCTGTGCCAGTTCAATTTGCCAGTTCGCTGATTTGCAGACCACAACCCATCATCAACTTCATGAATACAATTGTAAAGTGCAGAACTGCAGGATGATGAAGCAAGTTAATCATTAATATTACTATTTTAATTTAAAAAGTTTGCTTCTATTCCACTGAAAGTGTTCAGAAACTATTTACTGAGTGTGATTACAAAGATTCAAATCCCAGTGTGCAGAGAAAAATCTTTCATAAGGTGAAATTTCACAATGTCACATCTCCGTACTGGACATGACCTATGTGGTGCCTACCTGCAAAAGATTGGGTGTAGGTATCCACCAAACTGTGAGTCCTATGGTGAACTAAATCTCAACCACATTATGACAAGCTGCAAACAAGCCGAACTGCAGAGAGGTGTGCTTCAAGCTAAGGAAGGTTTGAGAGCCCCTTCAATCTAGGGACTTTTAAGTACAGGAAGTACAACAATACAGAATCCAATGAGAATTCATATGCAAATCTAATTTCATTCTGTTTCTTATTTTGGCTTTTTCTTTTGGATGCTTTGTTCCTTTGAGCAGATTCTGGTGTTGTGGGCTTGCGGCGTTGGCTGGCTGGAAGGCTCACAAGGACTCTCCGGGCAGGTTGGCCTCGGACCTCGGTACTGTTTGATCCTTTCCATAAATTATTTGTAAATGGTTTTATATAAGGAAAAGAATGATTTAGCTTTCAGCTGCTGCCTAGGTATGGTATGGTAATGAGGAATATTAGAAAGTGGTGTTTGTGCTCCCCAGGCATGGCAGCTTTCTGGCTTATTGTATTTTCCTAGTTCCCTAGTTCAGTGCAATAGACTCAACCCTTCTTAGAATTAACAGGTCATTGATGGTCGCTGCTACAATTTCCCTAGATTTTTTTGTATGTTAGTTAACCACTGAGCTGTGGCTTTGCATGCAATGATATGGATGTCTGTGTCCTCCTCCTGCATACTCTACAGATGGGATCATCGTTGTGTATGCCCATGTTGTGTAGTTGTTTTCTCAGATGCCAGTGACCCTCCTACCACTCCAAGTCTTGGGTGCCTCCTAAGTTAGTCTCTGAACAATGGAATTTGTTTAGGGTCATAATATAAAAAATCACAATTTATGAAATTGGCAGGTTCAAATCCAAGAAACAGGTTGGGCTATAACAGATGTATATAATTAAAAGCATGTACTCTCATATATTCCACATTCACTAGTTATGCCATGAATGGTGACAATCATCAGTGCACATGAAATAAAACACTGCAGATTCCAAATTCAGTAGTGGTTATGCCATGAATGGTGACAATCACCATTGTACATGAGATAAGCCACTGCAGATTTCACCATCAGTGATAAAATTCGTGTAAAAAATAGGCAGCTGTTACTTCCACGCGTTGCCAAACAGCACTCAGCATATTATATAAGAAGTGCTTTATGATTCTGGCTGTTTATGGATCAAGAATCATAACCCACGAACGGGTAAATCTGCAATCGTTTAAAAATAAACACTTACTTAAAGCCTATAACACGAGAAATTAATAATTCTAAGGAGGTCTATGATGGGTAGCGGCTATTTTCTTGATACAATCTGAAACCATTGTAATCAAAAGGAACCTCAGGAGTTCGAAAAATATCTTCATCGATATAAAAATATAGTCGATAGTTTATATCGGTCACATCGCCTTAGAATAACGTAAATCCAGTTAGGATAGGATAGTAGTTTTTGTTTTATTTTTTAAATTATAATTAGCGAGTTTTTTTTTTGCCTTGACAATTTAAAAAAAATTGTTTTTGTAAATTGAAGTTTTGTTTCGATTGAAGAGCAGGAATCGATGCGCAGATGTAGCAGGGAAACCGGTCTCATCAGTAGACTTCCTGTCTCTTCACGTCCTTTTCCGAATATCGAAATTCTCAGGCCACGCGTTTTTCGGTTTTTCTTAGTAGTTGACTTTTTAATTTTGTTTCTCTGATTAACTGGAGGACGAACGTTTCCTGAGATGAAGCTGTACTCTAACCCGGGCAACCCGCACGCCCTGAAGATACTCGCTTGCGCCAACCTGGCTGGTCAGGAGGTCGAAGTCGAGCTGGTCCCAATCACTGGTAAGGCTAGTGATAAGCACAGTCAGTGGCACTTTTATAGTTGATTTACAAGGTTGACACAATGAACAAAATCCTAAATGATGGACCATTAGGTATAAATTCTATATAGCATGACCAAAAGTTATATTTGTAATCATGTAGTTATAGAGGTTGTGGTGAAGGTTGGTGATTTTTCTAACCCATAAACAGTTGACGGGTCAATGGGTTGGGGGGGGGTTGATGCAGAATACGGTTTTATCCTCCACTGCAATCAGCTATAGCCATACCTTGGAAAGCCTGCTAAAGATGGCTCCAGACATGCGGTATTTTTTAGTATTAGAAGTATCGACCACTTTTTCATTTACGAACACTGAACCAAGGTATGGTCTTGAAGAAGAAAGCAAGTGTAGTTGCTACTGCCAAGCTTTCAGGGCATAACAACCGTATGTTTACAGATGACATATTTAAGTTTTTACAGGCGATCTCAAATTTCCTTTAAGACCGACTCAGTCTCAACATTGCCAAGGACTGTCATTGTCCTGCTACAGTCCTTGGCAATGTTGAGACTGAGTCGGTTTTAAAGGAAATTTGAGATCGCCTCTTGCCTAATAAATTAATTTAAATTTTTTTTGTCAGTCTTAATCTATTTCTACGAGTTGCATTGGCTTTTAAAACTTCGTTGCGAGGTTCTCCATTTGAACTCTGCTCTTTGGATAAGAGAGAGGGATGGAATCTGTTCTCTTTAGCCTAGTACACACTGGGATTCCTTGGACTCTTTGTTGAGAAGCTGCGTCTGGGATTTATTTTCTTGCATCTCAGATGCTCCGCGAGAATCCCATCTTAAATGAGATTCTTTACTCAATGTTGTGCAACATCACACGATTTCCGGAGTGACAATGTTGTGGGGCAAAGAGTCTGCGACATGTATCTGAGAATCTGCAACAAAGAGTCCGAACAAAGAATCCCAGTGCGTACTAGGCTTTTGCATCTCACGATCAATTGAGATGGTTCTTCACTTCCTAGCTGAGTGTTCCATTTTAAGAGAGATTCGTATATTACACCTCAGGTCATTCACTCCCTCAAGAGCCCAAGTCAACGAGCTGTCGAATGGTTCAGATCCCCGGACTCTTATACGGTATGCTCACCATGCCTGGAAGTATAGATACCATTTAGACCAGTAATTTAATTTTCTTTCACACCTTTTCTTCATTAAATACTGCAATCATACACAAAAAGTTAATGATCTGGTCAAAAAACTCATTACTTTCTGTGTATTTATTTCTAGTCTTTATGTTCTACAGTTAATGCTTGAATGTCCAAAGTTTTATGTTTAAATTTCAATTCCCAATTGTGTGTGACAATTTACAACGATCTCTGATGACAGACGGATATAATTCCATATTGTATATACTTTTATAAATATGTTTCATGATGTGCACAAAATTGTAAAATACAGTATATATACCTAAATGTATAAAAACAGATAAACTTACGTTTGTTAAGATTAAGAGAAAGTTCACTCCTCAGTCACAAATTCATAGGATTAATAGTTAATTCTGGGTTGATGAAAAATTAGGTATAATGTGTGTTGTTTTGATTTGTTTTATTATTAACTGATATAAATTAAAATACCTAAAACTTTAATTATCATCAATTACAATTTATACTCCATGATCTGTTAATGTCATTGTCATGACACAAGATTGGTCCATTTTGATTATATTTTTCCATGTTTCTAGTAGAATGGTGATTGTTAGTCACATTCATTATGATATTTGTTAAAAATGATGATATGACTTGAAATTACACAGCAGTTTACCAAGGTGTTCAAATCAATTTTTTTGAAATTTTTTCATGACATATTAGTTCATTTGCATCTTTTGAATTTTTTCAAGATAAAAGGTTCCAATGCCCAAAAAAGCTTCCAGTTCTTGAACTACCATCTGGATATTCAATATTTTCGAGCAATGTTGCATGCTCTTATTTGTTCCGTCCGCCTAAAAAATTAGAAGTTGCGACAACAGAATGGCTCACTTGGGACACCGTCAAACTGCAGGTATAATCTAAATTGATTTTATTTTTTTCTTTGTATTTTTACTAACTGTATTAAATTTTAGCCTTTGATCCCTTTCATTGGGACTAAAACTGAACCCACAGATAAAATTGAGTTCGTCTTGACAGAACTCAACAACACCTTGAACATCAAGCAATATTTAGTGTCGGTAAGATGTAATTTTTATTGATATTTTCACATGCTGTGACTTACTCCTTATACCATAGGATCAATTAACATCAGCAGATATATGTGTTTGCTTTACCCTGTATCCTCTGTTGTTTGACGAAAAGCTTGGTAAACAGTTTTTACTGAATAGACAGAATATATTAAAATGGAGTAAACATGTATTGACTCTAGATCAAGTCAAGGTAAATCAATTTATTACAGTTTAATATTATAAGTTCTGAAATTAAAATATGACTTCAGTCTGCTAGTAAAAAGTTTGAAGTAAAGTCAGGCGAAGAAGCTTTACTAAGTGTTACTAATTCAAGCTGGTTCCCATCACCAACATCAGAAAATATTGTTCTACCTGATTTTGATTCAGATGTGAGTAGTTTAAATTTATTTATTTTTTCAATTTTTCAAAGCTTTGTCTTCTTTTAGCAGGAGCATGAACAGGAAGTGGTATTATCTCAGAACCATATTTTACAAGCGACAAAATCTTGGGAAAGTGGATTAGACACTAGATCAAACCTTGTTCTTCCTTCTCAACCAGTGTAAGGTTAAATACAACAGTAGTAATATTAACAAGGAATTTATTGTTCCTTCTTTAAAGGTTACCTGTGAAAGACAAGAAAAACGTATTGATTACATCAGCCTTACCTTATGTAAACAACGTACCTCATCTCGGCAACATAATTGGCTGTGTTCTTTCTGCCGATGTTTTTGCAAGATACTCACGTTTCCGAGGGCACAATACTTTTTTTGTTTGTGGCACAGATGAATATGGTACAGCCACAGAAACAAAGGCCTTGGAAGAGGGTCTCACGCCGCAACAGATTTGTGACAAATATTTTGAGATCCATGACAACGTGTACAAATGGTTTAATATATCTTTTGATTACTTCGGTCGGACAACAACCGCAGAACAAAAGGAGTAAGGTTTGCTTATTTGAAGTGTGCTGGTTTGTATTTTACACTTGTTGCTATCAATAATTCATTTGATTTTAGAGTTGTGCACGAAATGTTCAAGTCATGTTACAATAATGGTTACACTAGTACCTCATCAGTTGACCAATTATTATGTGAAAATTGTAACAGGTTTTTATCTTATTGAAATCATAAGATTTATGAGCATGGCACAACCAAACTTTCTTTCATTTTTAGGTACTTAGCTGATAGATTTGTTGAAGGCATTTGCCCAGATTGCAAATATGAAGATGCTAGGGGCGATCAATGTGATGGTTGTGGCCACCTAATCAATGCTGTCGAATTGATTGACCCCAAGTGTAAATTATGTAAGAACACACCTGTTATTAAACAGTCTAAACAGATTTTCATAGAACTACCTAAGGTAAAAGAATTTTTCAATCAAATATGTAATTTTTCTGCCATTAAAAATTTGCGTATATATTTGTATTATAAGGTTGAAGAAAAGTTGAAAAAATGGGTTGCTGAAACATCAAAAGGGTGGTCACACAATGCACGTGTGATTACGGAGGCCTGGTTAAAAGGGGGTCTCAAGCCAAGGTGCATAACGAGAGATCTCAAATGGGGCGTTCCTGTGCCTTTAGAAGGTTTTGAACAAAAAGTAAGACTACAAAAATCAATAAAGTATATAATTTTATTTAACTTATAAACAAAAATTTATCTAATTTGATAAGATACCTAAGATAAGATCTTAGTCTGCTTACGTCATTTTGACATCTTCAGTGAGTTGAGTTTGGGTGATTCCTATGGAGTCAAGCTTTAGTTTCATTTTCCATCTAGTTTCGTTGAAACCTGACAAAAACATTGAAAGTAAAAAAATGTCCGAGCCGTCTATGAGATATAAGAGGACAAGTGAAGGATAAGTTAGAAAATCTTTTATCTGTTTTCCCATCTATGGCTGAAAATTGACATAAAAATGTTGGAAGTAAGAAAATCGACTGAGTCATCACATAAACTTAGATTTATCTGGGTTGTGTCGTTTTATTCAAAACTGCCCATTTTTGTACAATAGAGAACACATATTTACTAGCAGGCATTCATTTCCCAGCATTTTGTTGTTGTCGTTGTTGTTTTGTTGTCTGTGTTGTCTAGGTATCTGTGTATGTGTAGTGTTGTATTGTCATAATGAGAAGTTATTTCTCTTTAAAATTTTGTTCTTCTGCGAGTTATGGCTGAAGTTGGATTTCCAAAACTAAGAAAAACCAACTTATTCATCACATGAGCACACTATATCAACAATTTAAAAAAAATATAAAAGTGGAAATATCAAAAAAATTATATGTAATATAAATTATAAATCTTTTGTAGGTATTTTATGTCTGGTTTGATGCTCCTATTGGTTACATGAGCATGACTAAAAGATACACTGACAAGTGGTTGAAATGGTGGCAGCCAAGCTCAACTGAAAAGGTTGTACTTTACCAATTCATGGCCAAAGACAATGTACCATTCCACAGTATAATGTTTCCGGCTACTTTAATGGCCTCTAATGGAAACTATACTATCGTGAACCATTTAATGGCAACTGGTAAGATTTGAAATAAATTTTTATTGACAAAATTAAAATTTACATTCTTTAGAGTATTTAAATTATGAAAACGGCAAATTTTCAAAATCGAGAGGCATTGGTGTGTTTGGCAATGATGCAAAAGACACAGGGATTCCGAGTGACATATTCAGGTTCTACCTGCTTTACATTCGGCCAGAATCCCAGGACACAAATTTCTCCTGGGCCGACTTGGCATTGAAGAATAACACAGAATTATTAAACAACCTTGGAAATTTCATTATGAGGTAAATTTATATTTTATCAGCCATGCTCTGCTGACATTTTTATTTAATAGATATGGTGTTTTAGGACCTTGTCATTTGTTGATAAATGTTACAACAGTATAATTCCTCTCATTAAGCTGAAAACTGAAGAACAAGAGCTCCTAGGTAACATTTCGTTAGAACTTAACAGTTATGTCAGATCTATGGATAAGTCCAAGTTTAGGGATGGTATAAAATATATCTTGAACATATCCAGACATGGGAATCAGTATATGCAAAACACTAAGCCTTGGGTTCTTATTAAAGGCTCTGAATCTGACAAGTAGGTGATAGATAAATAATTGAGTTAGGCAATTTTTAAATAATTAATTTTTTTCAAGGGAAAAGTCTGCAACAGCTGTTGCACTTCTTAGCAATGTGGTCTGCCTTATTGCAAGCCTGTTGCAGCCATTCATGCCTGAAACTGTTCAAACAATCGCAACCCAAGTGAACCTTCCCGTTGAAATGTTTACCATTACAGATACTTTCTACCCCTACCTCAAAACAGGCCATGTAATTGGAAAGGTAATTATTTTTTAAATTATTGCTATTAAAAAAAGTAAATTATTCTACTCTTACCTTTTATATTTAAAAAAATGATAGGTTTCACCACTTTTTCAAAAAATCGAACAAGATTTCATGGAAAACCTCAAGGCCAAATATGCTGGTAAACAGAACTCACCTTCTCCAACTTTTGTAACAGTGCCAAGTGTGGTTGTCGACTCTACGGTAATGGACAGAGCCAAGGCAGTAGCATCACTCGAAGAGGCTGTTGCAAAGCAAGGTGACTTGGTACGATCAATGAAAGCAGCAGGCAAGAGCAAAGATGAGTTGAAACCTATGATCAATACTCTACTTGACCTTAAAAAACAGCTTGCGGCACTGAAGGAAAACGTTGGTCAAGATAAGATGGGATCTCAAGTAACAAATGAAAGCGATCGAGTAACTGAACCAGCAAAAATAAATGATGTGGCAACTCTAGAAGAATTGATAGCCAAACAGGTCAACTAAATTTTCTAGGCACAGTCAAGTTGTATATTACATTGATTTTTAATTTATTATTTTTCTCTTTGTAGGGCGATCTTGTGAGAGCAATGAAGGCTGCCTCAAAAAGCAAAGAGGAGGTTAAACCTCAGATTGACAAGTTGCTCGATTTAAAAAAACAGCTTGCTCTACTTAAGGGTGAACCCGAGGAAAGCAAAAAACTAAAGAATGGTCCTGTTGCAAAAACCCAACAGAGCATTTCTGGAAAAAAGAAGAATAAAAAGAAATGACATAAAAATTAATAAATTTATTTATTTATTTTAAAATTTAGTAATTTATTGTTAACCTTTCTGTGATCAAGTTGTTTGTTTTATCTACTTTGTAGTTAAAACTTAATGCTTTATTTAAACAAACAGTATTATTATTTATTGAATATTAAATTTTAAAGCCTACAATTGTGAATTTAGTTGTATTTGGATTTTTACTTCAAAATAAGGCAATTTTCTAATATTATACATTCTATATAATATATTCTACACTCTATACATTCTTCTATATATGTGTATATTATGCTTTACAAACACAAAATTAGAAGTTTAGAAATCATAAACTAAAGGGTTACAGCAAATTTAAAAGTGCAGAAAGTATGTTCATATGTTAAAACATGTTGGTATGGTTATGTAATTAAAATAATTTGTATCATACATGCATTTTTAGACATAATAAAAACTATCGTTTTGTCTTTCAATGTAACATTCAGTTTTAAAGTTATTAACGCTAGAAAAATGAATTAAATAATATTTTATATCTCAATGTGATTTTTGATCACAGTTATCAGTTAAAATGTGTAAGTTAAATAACAGTTTAATTCAATATGTGAACTGAGTAGAATGGTTAATATGCATATTTATAAAATAACCTGAATTTGCATGGGATGGTAAATCATTAAATAATTTCATTAAATCCTACCCTTGTCTTTTAATTTGTCCTACCTAAGGCTGACAGTCTTGTAGTTTGGCCTTTGCCCAGCATACAGTTCACATCTGTGCTTTGTGTTGCTGATTCTCTGATCCTTTCAGTTGTTCTCTAATTGAATTCTCTAGTGCTACTTTCACAAAACCTTTCTTAACTAATCTTTATCTGTAATGATGAAGTGTTTGTGCTGTGATTGCACTATTAGCTTTGAATAAAAATATTTAAGCAGGTATATAATATAGTTTAAGTATGTATTAGGGTTGATTCCTAAGTCAGCGGTTTTACACCATTCTTCTGTGATTTTTAGACCCTCTTGTATTATATCACAGAGAGTTTCCTTGAATTTTCCCCTGGCAGTCAGGACTGTGTCGTCCGCATATCCCTGTACAGTTCCTTGAGGACATCCCTTGGTTGTGCTAACTTCTATAGTGCCTGTTCCTATATTTATTTTAATTATTCTAGTTCTTAGCATTTCTCCAATCGATCTGGAGGTAGTTTGGTCTACATGTTTTTTTCCTAGGGAGAACTTCATTGATGCATGAGATGCATTGTCGAAGGCTCTCTCAATATCGAGGGACGAGCAGATTGCTATTTCCTTTGTTTCCAGTGTTTCCTTTATGTCACTGATTAGCTGATACAGTGCAGTTTCTGGTGATCTTCCTGCTCTGCATGCATGCTGACAGTGATGGAGAGGTTTGTCTAAGAGTACTGTCATTCTTATATGGTTGTCTATCAGCTTTTCAAGGGTTTTTAGTAGAGAGGATGTTAAGCTGATTGGGCTGTAGCCCTGTAGGATTTAGGTAGTGTAGGGTCTTTTTTTCCCGCTTTCGGTATAAACACTATCTTTGCCCTACGCAACTTCTGTGGTATATAACCTAGTGCTAAGCTGCGTCTATATAACCGCATCAATGTTGGAGTGATTATATACACTCCTTTTTGTACCAGGATGGGAAAAATCCCATCCATTCCCGGTGCTTTGTATGGGCTAAAAGTGTTAATCACTCAGAGGATCTTCTTCTCTGTGACTATTTCAGCTGCTTTCTTCCAATTTTCTTTCTTGGAATTATCTACTCTCACATTTAATAGGGGGTGTCATACGTGCTGCCTGGAAAATGTGTACTTAGAAGGAGCATTTCTGAGTAGTTAGTTATCTTCTACGTTCCTTAGGGACGTTGTTGATTTGTAGATGTAGATGTAATTTCAGGGTATAGTATACTGCGCCATTTAATCCAGAAACACATTTACCCGATGCTACGCCATGCGATGCTACCCGACGCCTTGCCACGTTTTGGTGGGGTGTGCACATCTATCTGACGCAAGTACACGTCGCGTACAGTCCACAGCATTTGTCACAATAATCACTATCACAATCGCAACGCATCTTTTGTTCTTAATGCACTATTTTGAGCAAAACCTTGTAATAAATTGTTAGTTAAATTTTATGAGTACAACCATCTAATAAATTGTTTCTTAAACTTAATTGTTTTAAATAAAGTTACTCCTAACCATCATAATTAAACAATGTTTATAAAAACTTATGCATTTTTGATCTCGTTTAATTTGGTTTACATTAAAATAACATGTTGTAATTAATATAACGACAAAATTACATGTACTTAGTTTGAAATAAACTATAAAAATATGAGTGTCCTGTTCTGATGCTACCCGACATTACAAAATGGTGTAATTTTACGAGCAAAACTATGAAATAAATTGTTAATTAAATTTTATGAGCAAAACCGTGTAATAAATTGTTCCAATTTTAGTATATGTACCGCCGAAGCGAGTAGAATAAATTGTTAGTTAAATTCATTATATCAAAAAATCGTATTCCGGTGTTTTGATTAATTTTCTACCAAAACATTAAAATTAATTTTTTAAATAAAAACTAATTAATTTTTAATCACAGTTAATTTGGTTTATATGACAATAAGTATGTTGTAATTAATATAACGGCAATAATACATTTTGAATAAAAATATGAGTGTCCGGTTCTTTTGTCTTCGACTGTACTCGATGCGACCCGACGAAAATCTGGAGGGGGGATCGCAGAGCGTCGGGTAGGTTAGCGTGGCATAGCATCGGGAAGATGTGCACGAGGGTAATGCAACCTTATGGAAAATCGGAGTTTGGATTTGGACGCATGGCGTAGCATCGGGTAAGTGTGTTTCTGGCTTTAAGAGCTATTGTATGTTGCGTGTTCTGCCTAAGTCACATCAGTGAGTCCTATTTCATGAAAAAACTTGATTAACAGGCTCGGTTTCAGTGGTTGAAGCTCTTCTATGGCCACATTATACATCCCAAAACATTTCCTTCTGCGGGCTAGTGTAGCTCCGCAGTTTGTTAGTAGATGTGTTGGTGTCTCTTCTGCCTCTTTGCAGAATCTGCATGTGCCAATTGGGATTATTCCAATCTTCTTTAAGTGCCCATTTAACTTGCAGTGTCCTGTTAGGATTGGCAGTTTATTCCTTCTTCCCTTGACACATTCTGTAATTTCTTTCCTGCCAAAATTGGTTAGAAGATTCTTGGATTGTCTGTGTCCAATGAGTGAATTCCATAGTTTCCTCATTTTCTTTTTGTCCTTCTGTCTGAGATACTCGTTAATAGAGTGGGTTCCTATGCCACAGAAGGGTTCAGGTCCTTTCAGCGGTGTAGCAGCTCCTCTCCTTGCAAGGATGTCCGCTTTCTCAGTGCCTTCTACTCCCATGTGTCCTGGGACCCAGCAAAGGCTGACTTTGTTCTGCGTACCTAATATGTTTAGTTTGGTTTTGCAGTTCAGCACCATCCTTGAACTAATGATATTTGAGCTTAGTGCTTTGATGGCTGCTTGACTATCTGACATGATAGCTATATTCTTGTTTTTGTACCCTTTACTTAGGTTGAGTTGGGTACATCTTTCTTCGATTGCATGAATCTCAGCTTGGAAGATACTGGTGTATTTTCCCATGGGTTCTGAGCATTTGGTTCCAGGTCCAAATACACATGCCCCTGTACCTTCTTGTGTTCTAGATCCATTTTATGTACTAAAGGATGGTGCCATTCTTGAAATAGGTGTTTCCCTCTCATCACCATTCTTTTTTGGTGCTTAGGTTTATTCGGAAGTTTTGATTAAATTCAAACATCCTGTTCATGTCGTCTCTCGGAGCCATGAGTATCGGATGGTCTTTCCATAGTTTGTTGCTATCTCTCCATTTTATTTTTATTCCTGTTGGAGCTTTCTCTTTGGCACAATTAATGCTGGTTTTCTGCTCTGTCCTTATTACCATGTGGTGTAGGGGGTTAATCCCAGTACTTTTTTCATACTAATTGTAGGACATGTTCTTATTGCTCCCGTTATGCAGATACATGCAAGTCTCTGTATTTTTGTGAGTTCTTTCTTTTTAGTTACTTGTTCTGCTTTGTCAGCCAAGGCTGTAGCTCTGTATGTAAGTATAGGTCTTACTACCATGGTGTACATTCATAGCAGGGCTTCCGGGTCTGCATCTCCAGTTCCTTCCTGTTATTCTTCTGCACACCATCAAAGCTCGCGTCGCCTTCGTGATGTTGTGAGCCAATGTGTTTCTTAAATGTTAGTCAAGTCTCAAAAGACAAACTGCCCCTCACCTCAGTTATCTAAAGAGCTGATTATACGTCCGAAATGAGGGGGAAAATTAAGTCATGGGTTTGCAGGTGCTCAAAGAATAACAACCAGCGATACCAAACATTTCTGCAAATAAGTTCGTTAAAGTTATATAAATGCCAATAACCTTTGTACCAAAGAGTGCGCCAAAGCCTGCTTGGTAATCGTAATAATTTAATACAATGCCTATTGCCGCACCACTTTTGATGTGAGAATTTCCTTACCGAAGTGGCTGTACCATAATAAGATACTGCTTCACATATGTGCCGATGTCTCTAGACCCTCCTCACAAATTCGGTATGTTTTTGTCTCGGATTCACCCATATTCTTTAGGTGGTAAGTTCGGTGGTACACTCTACACCGGTAGAGGCCTCATAATTTTCCTCAAATGCCTGCTGAAAGGTAGGAGTTCCTTTGCCTTCCTTTTTGAAAATTTTATAGAACTCTTAGCTTACCTAGATTTTGTCGAGTGCTTGAGTTCTTCTTTCTCAAGCCATTTTCCTGTTCCAACTTAAGCACACACTCCGGTGCATTTAGTTGTGGTTCCGGTCCCAGAGGTGAGAGGGCTGCCCCTTTTTCGGTAGTTGGTCATCCTGTACAGTCTTAGAATCCATGTATAGAAGCCACTTTAAGATAATCTTGTTGTGTTTTCCTAGAACCTTTAGGCAATGTAGATCCTCAACTCCTTGATAAGTTTGAGTTGAAAGCATACCTAACGAAAAACGTCAAGATAGGTAAATTTTTATGTATTGTTTAGTTTCTCATGAGGCAAAACGTTTTGATCTAACTCCAGGATAGCAGAGTATGGATGGAAGCATAACTATTTCAATTGGAATGATACAAAAAGATTTTTTATGCTGATTTTACCGGTGTAAACGGTTTTACAATTTTGAGCAACCATTCTTTCATGAAATTGAACATTTATAACAGCTGATGAGGAGATGCGGGCAGCACCTCGACATCTATCTTTAAAAAAAAAAGAAAAGAAAACTACTTTTTATGAAAAGTGTGTTTTTGGTTATCTCTGTCTGTGGAATAGAGTGGGTCAAGGTAGAAAAGAAACTGGTTTAAAGCCTGGTCTGTTAATACCCCTGTTACTCAACATGCATAACTGCTATGGAGGTTTACAGCTGCTCAAGTCCTTGTACTCCAGTAACCTGTTATCCGATCTGACTCATTGTAGGATTCTCCGAGCCTAGATCGCTGTGTTTAAATGTTTGATCCCGGGTTGGTGAAAATACCCTCTGCTTTTTCCAGGCCATCTTGCTGTAGATTAGGTGTACGACCTGAAGATAACTTAGTCCGGTTGCAGCCGCTATCAAATCAAGATACAACAAATGTCACTCTTACACACCGGTCATCACAATCCCTTAGCAACCCAGTGGTGGCTCCTTGATCTCATCGTAAGTAATAGCAAGTGACAAGTTAGTCCTTAGGTATACTTTTATCGCATATAATATACAGTTGCAAGTTTCAGATAAATTTAGAAAAGTTGGTCAAGACATCAGCACTAGGTACTTTCCAGGAAATGAACTAAAAAATTGAAGAAATGTGTGATAATTGGTGAATTAAGTTAATTAATTTAAACTCTGCCTAGTGCAGTATACTTACAGTCCTTGGTCTCACAATGGATGAGAATTTTGCGTTTTGACGAGATTTTCCAGTTCGTAATACGAAGAGCATGAAGAGGGTGTTGGTAGGGACAAGGAGACCCCCAGGTGGAGTCGGCCGGCAGCCCAGTTGGAGATCCGATCCCATTGTTAGGCTCTCCGTAGATCTTCACAGAGGTCTTATTTATGTTCAAAGTACAAAATGTCCAAATAGTCGTCAGTAGCTAGAATTTTGGTCTTACAAGTGCCAAAAATTATATAAATAATGAGAAGCTCAAAATTATGATTGGAAAAATTTGTGAAGGTTTGCTTGTTATTTTGCATATATATCTCGTTCTTATGGAACAATATTGTCAATAAAATTACTCAATGACAGGCTAAAAGTTATTTATTTAAAAGTCGAACAGAAAGGGCCGGACCAATTCCAAGATCCGGCCATATCTCAAAGGGACTTGCCCCGGATTTGCAATGTAACATCCGAAGGATCGGCTTTGTTTTTGAATACGAAAGCGACGCCTGGAAGTGTAATAAAGGAAGGTAAGACAAGATGGTTGATACATGAGCTCGGCAGCATAAGACACATGGGTCAATCCCATTGCAAATACAACTTCACTTCCACTCGCCTCCTTCCTCAGACCACGCTCAACACGCTCTTCACCGCCTATCCAATCCCCTACGAGCATAAATCTTTCCGATCAACGATCTGTTATAAATCGTGTTAACGTTCTTCTTTTGGTAAACCCACTTCCAGCTGGAGCCAGACAAATATTCGAATCTTGAGTTATAGATTAAATCTTCAACTATTTTCGTTTGCTGGTTTATTATCAAAGTCCGCTTGTAATCAATGTGATAATAATGCGAGAAGGATACTGAGAAAGGCCAAAGACATCACATTTTACAACATTTATTAAATAAAAACAAAAATGCAAAATGAAATAAAGTAATCAACAAAATAACGAAAGATTGTCCTAAGTAGATTTTTACACTTAGATTCTGCACATATGTGTTTGCATGTGTATATATGTATGTACAATCAAGATTATGTAAGTCAGTCAATCAATAAAATAAATATTAATAACAGCAATTTAAAAATGTTAACTCTAAGACTCTACTAATAGGATCTATTTTCAATTAACATACAAGGCTGTGTTGGTTTAAATGAAAATTTGTCACAAGTAGGATTTGAACTCATTGGCTTTGGATTTCCCTTCTATGTTCTGCTCTTGAGCTTCTGCAGAAGATACCTTATGACTCAATCTTATTTCACACACCGCTTTTAGTTAGTTTTAGTTAAAAAGGCCATTTGTAAGTATGTCGGGTTCGAATGAGGGCCGCTGGATTCGAACCCTGGACCTTTACCTTACAGTGACGAGCGCCGTGTCAACGCCTAAACCGTTGCGGCCACCGACGCCCCTACCCCACCTATTGAATTTTAAAAAGCAGTGAAATAGTTTTTTAGGACTTTTTAAGCGTTCCGATAATATAATTCTAAGTTCGATGTACTGGACTTAAAATTAAAAAAATATGTTAATAATATATACCTAAAATTTTTTAGGTATATATTATTAACATATTTTTTTATTTAACGAATTCTATTCTTTGAAATTTATATGGAAATTTTTCCAATTCCATTTTTTCGCTAAAGTCCATTCTATAAGTGTGTTATAACAAGGCACTGCATACCTGTCCCACTACAGCTGTATAACATGCGGTTGATCTTCGACCCTTACATTTTTATGAACAAACGGTGGCTTTTTAGTGTGTCAGCAGACTCCTGAGTTTTAAGGAAAAAGTCAGATATAAGAAGGAGCCTCCACTAAATGAGATGGCTATAACTCTATCTGACATAATGAGAGAAAACCTCAACTTTGACAGACCTTTTCAAGTGGCCATAGATAACAGAAACCTTTGGAAGAAAATCCAGGTTTCAGGAAGAGGCCCAAATATGGCACACAGATGGATCGATGATGTAATAGGTAATATATGTAAGGATAAAAGGACAGAACTAATCACTAGCAAACCCCTTGGTCGAATCCGAACCATTTTCCAAGCTGAGTTTCATGGAACACAGCTCAGTCGACATAAGTATAAACTTTGTTAATTTAAGACAAATATGATCAGAGTCAGATCGTACTCTAAGACAGTCAGGCCGTTTTAGAGGCACGAAATGCCTATGCTTTCAACTCAAACTTATCAAGGAGTTGAGGATCTATATTGCCTAAAGGTTCTAGGAAAACACAACAAGATTACCTTAAAGTGGCTTCTATACATGGATTCTAAGACTGTACAGGATGACCAACTACCGAAAAAGGGGCAGCCCTCTCACCTATGGGACCGGAACCACAACTAGATGCACCGGAGTGTGTGCTTAAGTTGGAACAGGAAAATGGCTTGAGAAAGAAGAACTCAAGCACTCGACAAAATCAAGGTAAGCTAAGAGTTCTATAAAATTTTCAAAAAGGAAGGCAAAGGAACTCCTACCTTTCAGCAGGCATTTGAGGAAAATTATGGGGCCTCTACCGGTGTAGAGTGTACCACCGAACTTACCACCTAAAGAATACGGGTGAATCCGAGACAAAAACATACCGAATTTGTGAGGAGGGTCTAGAGACATCGGCACATATGTGAAGCAGTATCTGATTATGGTACAGCCACTTCGGTAAGGAAATTCTCACACCAAAAGTGGTGCGGCAATAGGCACTGAGAAAAGTGCTTATGTTTATGGCAGAAAGTGCACTTTTAAAGGTATGACTATAATTTACAGGGGTTCCCCAATAGATCAATATAGGTAGCAGTTGACGAAAGGATTTTTAGAATCCTTATTCAACTCCCAAAAACCTCCAAAAATATTACAAGTGACAAAAATGCACATAATGTTAATAAATTAAATACAGTAAAACTTCCCTATAATGGACATTCTTGGGATAAAATTTTGCCTGGTATACATATCGTCCGTTTTTGGGATAAGAGTGAAAAATATATACTATTACAAGATGGGCCACAATGACGATTACAAGATGTGGCCATCTTTGAAACACCAAGGGATTTTAGATATTTTATGACCAAATGGTTTTTCAAATTTACCAAGCATAATTTTGCTTAGAAGCAATGTGTAAACTTTTTTTAACTGCATAGACAACTTTAACTATACTTCCGGACGATCTCTAAAAATGTAAGGCATCTCATCGAAATTAAAAATGTTTTTGGGTTTAAAATTGGTTTTTCCATCCAGTTTTGTACAAACTCGGTCCTCCGCTCCATTAATGGTCTTAAAAGAAATCTTATGCCGTGTTCTAAATTTGTCAATGCTTGATGCTTTAAAACCGTTTGTTCTAAATGTTTTGCAAATTCTAAGGCCTTTTCTCGGAAATGTGGACCAGGCAGTGGTATTTTCAAAGCCCGACCACGGCAATACAATTGAAATACGTTCTGGTTTGTGGCCAGACATTTTTAGAAAAAGTCTGCTCTATTAGTAATTCCCGTGTTTTAAAACTTGTCTAAAAGAACTTTTTTATTTTTTAGAAATTCACTTGCCTGTGTCTTTCCGATGGAAAACTTTGCAGCCATTTCTAGGCACTTTGTTTTTCATTTTCATTCATTTTAATTATATTAATTTTTTAAAAGTATCCAATGCAGTTAAGAAGTACTTAAATATGTTTGCAGAATCAGAATTTGTTCGTCCAAGAGAAGTGTCCGCTTTGGTATCCGTTAAGCGAAATTTCATTGTAATCCAATTATTACTTTCATCGCATGTAATACTTTTCCCTACTGGTTAAAATTAGGGAAATAAAAAATTAAATAATCTAAACAATAAATTATATAAAAAATGTAATTTAAACTTTACAAACAGATTGAATACAACCCACACCAAAGTGCCCCGAGGGACTCACCTTCTCTTGAGGCTTTGTGGTGAAGCCCGGCGAAGTTTCATTTGTCAGCGCCCAGTGAGTTCCGCTTCGTCGAACACGAAAACCGATCTGTAAATTGCCGGTTGCTTCAATCAAGGAGCGGAAAATTTTAAAATTCCTTTTTCTTCGTTAAAGACAACACGAGAGAACAGGCGCTCAATAAAATCGTGCTATGAAACTGAATGGCAACTCATTTACTGAAATGGGTTACTTCCGAAATTTCAGTAAATATTAAAAAATTATGCTAATCTTTTTAACTGAAAAAATATTCAGGATTTTGAATTCAGTGAATAATGATAAATAAAATGTAGCTTAGTTGTTTAGGCCTTTCGACCTCTAAAGTGCTTAATCTGTATGTTATTTTCCTCAGTTACTTTACACGTGCCGCTGTTATCTTGGTGAAGATTTTAATGTAAAACAACACTAATGACAAACTTTTCAACTTTTTCTTTTAATTATTCTTTTTTTAATTGAAATTTATTATTGGCAATAATAAAAAACGGGAAAGATTTAATAGTTTGTGATTTTTTCATATAACCCTGTAATTCAGACATTTACGATTTGCACTGGTACTGGCACACCGAAAACCCTCTAAAGTTTACCCATCTTTATGGGTAAGATACATATGTGAACCTCGAAAAAGAGTTGTTTAATCTCAGTGAGGGAGAATAATCCATCTTTATCCTAAACCAAATTATGCAATTGTTAAAAATAGGCTTATTTATTAGACATTAAGCCAACTCAGCAGACAGGCATGGCCTATGCTATTTGTGTTTTAAGGCATTTTGCAATTAGTATATTACTATTTTCGTAAAATAATGTATCTGTTGGAAAATAATAATAATAAACACTTTTTATGTTATTCATAGTTTTTAGTTGTGTAGAGAGATCTGGGGGTTGGCGACCCCGACGATATTATCGTACAGTAAAAATCGTTTAAATGAACACCGGTTGTAAGAACATATCGTTTATAAGAACGAAATTTCTAATTCCCGGCCAGCTTTAATGCAACTTAATGTATAAAATATCTGGTTATAAGAACATTATACAACGTTAGTAAGAACATATCGCTTTTAGTGACCTAAAGTTATTGTATTTCCGAGAAAACAAACCTTTTGTAAGAACTTCATGAGACAATAACAGCACACAGCAGAAAATAAACACTTCAAAACTGGGCTCAAGATTTGCCCATTGAAAACAGTTTGCTTCAAGGATATGAAGACGTAGACGTGAGTCTTACTACTCATGGAATCATCACAGATGAAGAAATTGTTGCAGGGGTCAAAGCAGAAGAAAATGATTTAGAAGAAGACAATGCCATAACAGATGATTTAAGTGAATTTTTGTGCCCCACTTTGAAGGAAATGTTCTCAGCTATAAATGTGGTAAATAAATTTTTAACATGTAATGACAATTTTGCAAAGGAATCTATGAAAATGAC